GGTTTCGATGGCGGGATCGTTTTGATACGTCTGTTCCCGGAAGAAAGTGAGAGGAGGTACTAAGCAATCTGAAAGTTGGTAAAATTTACGAAACCAAATTACCATGGTTACCCAAATAACGCCGGACGAAGTGTGACAAGCCACATTGACCAATCGTTTGTTTGCGAAAAGGCGTCATTTTGACAATAAAAAGGCAGATCACAGAAGTTTCCTCAACCTGCCCAAATTATACCATTGAGAAGGATACCGTAGCAATTCGTTCTATGCTTTCTATACAGTGGTGGCAAAATCTATAAGACATTTGGCCTTATTGGGTCCCATCGGCCCAATTTTTAAGTAAAAATTAAATGAATTGCTGGATAGTTGGTCCGTGCGACGCAGAGCGAGAATCTGAAAACAGAATGCAACTACAACAAATATTGCGCAAGATATCCCCCTTTTCTCGACATGCCCCGGGCAAAAAGTTTAGGTACGCTTTCGTGCAAAACTTTATTGTCAAGAACAAACACTAAAAGGGGAACGTCCCAATAGTCTATCTTCTTTCCCTTGGCAAGCACGACTTCAATACACCTCTTTTGCATAGATGCCACTAACGTATGAAGTGTATCATTGCCAATTCCATCCCCGGCCTCCCCAATACACTGAGATAGAGAACAAACGTTCTCAACTGCCTCCGGTGAGCGTGAACCCTTCTCACGAGGATACCCCAAAAGTTTTCGATGGGGTTAAAATCAGGGGAGAACGCTGGCTGTAGTGAAACTACCGGAGCGCGCAGAGGTTAACCGGGCGGCCGTGCACGGCGCACACGTGGGCGGGTGCCCACGTGTAAGGAGGGCGCGCGCGTGCCGGTCGGTCGTGGAGTGGCGTACGTGTACAGTAGCACACGTGTGGTCCGTGTGGTTGCTGGTGGCTATTACGCGTGTACGGGAGCGCACACGTGTAGTGGCGGCATCCGCACGGTGGTTAGTAATTCTGGCTCTACCATTTTAATTGTGTACAGACCCGGCACGCACAAGGCGGCAAGTACTGTAATGGGACAGGTGTCCGAGGCGTCCCTTTGAGGGATTAAGACCAGACACCCGCCCCCACCAGTTAGCAGGGGTAAGCTCGCCCCCGTTCCTTTTGCGCCTATATACAACCGTTCGGTAAGTCTACGCGCGCGCCAGCTTCTAACCCCTTACCGGTCGCTCTCGTTTATGCCCCCGGGACGACTGCGCGTTTCCGGCCAGTAAGCCTCTCCCTTTTCGCGAATTCGCTCTTATCGGATCTATTTGCGCAGGTAGATCCGATAAGAGCGTATTAAACGCCAGGCGCGCGCCTGGCGTCGGCGTCGCGTATTTCCTCTGCGCAGCCTCCACCTCTCACCGAACCCCGGGCCGAGAGGAGTTATCCTACACTGGCCACAGAAAAAGCGGGATATGGTTGTCAGAAAAGAATGTTTTTGCTCTAGCACGGTGGAATGGTGCATCGTCCTGCATAAAACCCATGTGAGAGGATGGTCTTCGGCAAAAGGAAGCAACTTCTCTTCCAGAGTCATAAAATACTTCGGCCCATCCTGCCTCCCTTCTAAGAAAACCAGATGAGACTTCGCAGTGCCTGCAAAGCAAGCCCGAACCGTGATGCTCTGTCCACCACTGTGTCGTTTCGAGAACCACTCTTTTTGCTTCCTTAAATCATGCCAATTATAGGCCAACCCATCCGGGCCGTCGAGATTAAACTTCTTCTCGTCTGATCAGAGGATAGATGTCCAATTTTGGTCGTTTCATGTCATTCTTTGGGGTGCCCAGGTGACCCTGAATTTTTCATGGTGTTCACGCATGGGCGGAGTCCTTGCAATACGCTTATAACGCAAACAGGAAGTCTCCAGAAGCAGTTGTCGTACACGGCGAGATTTGACAGTCAACTTCAAGGCCTTGACAATGCCGGAGGATCCTAGGGGGCCCTTGGAAGCTTCGCGAATGATTCTTCTTTTGTCGTTGTCGGTCATCTTGCGCGGCCTACTGAGCCTATTTTTACGATTGTAGGCGTTCTCGTCTCGAAGAAGGGCTGTTTTGACGTTCGTAGAGCATCGTAACTCCCGTACGATGAGTGTAACACACCAGCAGTTTGACTCGTGGGCCAAAACTTACCCCTTCTCTAAGTCAGACAACTGTGGCTTGCGAGGCATTGTGGTGGATGAGCAGGGTGCTTGACATTCGGTTCGGGAATGCTTACCGTGGCAGAGATACTTAAACTACTATTCGCAAACGTTTGGCGGCACTGGCCTTAGCACTTCCCTTGCTTTCGGGTTTCGGACGTAAGAGCATCACCTCCGGTAGGTGATCAAATAACCAAACAACAACACTTGGCACGTTTGTTCTAGAACTCAATTGGCTGGTGGGAATTTGGTGGTTTGGTTATTTGGTAATTTGATATCTCAAAAAGAACAGTGCCACCGGTGAGAACCAAGTACTGTATAGTATGCTTTCTGGACACCCTTCTTCTACGAGCGCCCTCTCTCGCCCGCTTTTGCAACCAAATATACGCCGGCTCAGCTCCTCCCCTAATTAAGAGGCGTAGCTGATCCGGCGT